TCACTGCAGCTATACTAAAGATTAAGTGATATCTCTCTCTCTCTCTCTCTCTATATATATATATATATATATATATATAAACATTGAATATGATTGTAATTCTTATCTGATTTTTATTTTACATTTTCTATGCATTTAAAATACTCTTGTGACTAACATGTACTTTGGCACTGCTTACAACAATATTTTAGTTTCAGCTATTTGTTTGTATTGTTTCTTTACTGACTTTGCTTCACAATAGCTATCACTTCAGATCCTTCAACACAAAATACTGTATTAATGCAAGGAAAGAATGCCTAGCAAAACCTACTACAATAATATTACACCTCCTTATATTATGTTTAAGTGTACTTTTTAAGTTTTCATTTTGATTAGGCCTCTCAGAGTCAACTGGATACCCAGTACATTTTATCTTCTCAATGGAGAAATTCCAGTTAGTAAAGAATAAACTTTCCTAAAATCATATATTTTCGAATGGTTAGGCTCTCTGCAAATTTTACTTGGGAATCATAAATGATTTTACTTGCCACAGGTAGAAAATTAAGTTTAAAAAAAAAAGAGAGAGAGAATGAACTGTACAAGTCATATATCTAAAACATAATTTTCAAGTTTTCATGTTAAAAATAGGTGGCGAACATACAAAAAATTTATGAAATACTGATATTATAAAACAAGAGCAACAGCCTCAAAGCAACTGCAAACAGCTGGTTGTTTGAGTAAATACAATCAGTTAAATACCTTCAAGTAAAATCTAATTTCATTGAAATCCACAAAATTGAAGAAAATTTGCATCCACCCCCCCCCCCCCAAAAAAACCCCTCAGAGTAAAGATTTGCATAAGGATATTTCCCAGTCCATCATCATACTTTTCTAAGACATTGCAGCTACGTAAGCAGTGCATATTCTGTTGTACACACACACTCATTATGATAGTTTGAAGTATCAATTGCTACTGTGTAGCAATTATTTTGGATTGGGTGTAATTAACCTTTTCCAGGTAAGAATGTTTCCTTCTTTAAGTGAAAATACTAAACCAAAATCTCTGAAACTTAAAAGAAACTTTAAATAGTATCTAGTTTTGGCTGAATATAATTCCTTTGATTTTACTCAGAATTTATATTATTTTTCAGCTTGTGAGATTTCAAAAATTTTGTTGGGACACTGTTTTAAAACATATAAAAAATACTTCATTTTATATAACTAGACAGTTTCAACTTGATTAATATACATTACACATTTCTTTTAATACTTTATTTTGCCCAATTCAGTAGTCACCACTTCTAGCTATAAATCATAAACAAGATGGAATCCTCAATAGCTATGGCACTTGAAATTCTTTTAGGCAGGATTAGAGCAAATTAATCTAAGAAACCTTTATTTTCTTTTTAATTAGTTATATTTTTGTGTGCCAGCAATACCACGTGTGAGGTAAGCACATACCCGATTCGATATTATTACTCTTCAGGTTCTCTACCAGCCTACCCTTAAATAGATATTCTTTTAGACACGATTAGAGTAACTTAACCTATGAGACTTTGGGTGTGGTCAAATACATCAATCAAAAGATTTGTCCTCCTGAGTCCAAAACTGTAATTAGATCTCAAATTGGTCAAGAGATGACGGAGCTTCAAGCTATAAGTTTGTACTTTAAAAAAAAAAGAACAAAAACTCAGAGCCATTCCTTGAGATGCAGCTCAAAAATGAATTGACAAAATTTTTTCGGTGAACTAGAACTAATAAAACCTTTTGAAAGGGCTGTAGTAATAAAATCACTAATAGAAAAGGAAAATTAGGTGAGAAACAAGAAATTAATAATTAAACCTGTTCTTTGGGATGCATAGAAAAATTTCCCAAAAGAAAAAAAACATTTTTTATAACCGAAATTATTTGCAAACAAAAATCAAAATTAATCTTACAAAATGACAAAATATCAATTCTGAAATATTTTCTTCAGTTGTTAATTGATGATATATATATATTTAGAACTATAAATTTTAATTCAAATTTTGAAATTTGATATGCAGGTGTGCACTTGACAACTGAAAGGAGCTCACTGGTCACTACAAAGACAATATACTGAAATTAATCTGTTTAACAAAATACATTAAAATTTGCAAGTTTGCTTCACCATTTAGTCACTGGGCTCTTACACTTACATTTTTAATTATCTAATTACTAAAACAAAAATATCTTGGTATAATTTCTTTTATTTAGTCGTGTTTAATACATAATTTATGCAGTGTATTAAACTTACCTCATCCTTAACTTTTTCATTTGTTTTTACCACAGACTCCAAAGCTGATACCCACATCTGTTTCTCAGCAAAGCTTGGCACCATTATATACAAACACCTTAAATTGAAAGTGAATATTATATAACTACAGTTCCTTTCTACTAAATTTCCTTCTTCCAATGTTTTCTTAATCCTTAACATTATAATCTATTTTACTAAAGGAATAAAGCTACTCAATTTATGTTTTAAAAACATTTTGTTACAATAAAAATGTTTTAACCAAAAACTTGTTTACATTTGGATATTTTACACCTACTCTTAATATTTCAAAACAATAAGTAAAGCTAGTACAGAATTTTAAAACAAATGATACTACACAAGTCAAGGTTCTATTTGATCTACAATATTAATCTAATGGTCCATCAAATTTCTTTATACAACTAAATACTAAGATAAAAATATAAGTTTTTCAATTTGGTTTTACATCTAAATACTAGTATTTAAGATTATTAAAATGGAATAGTTTCTCAATAAAGCATTCATTACATTTTAAATAGCTAGACAATAGTACATATTGTGTACAAGTCAGAAGTTGAAAAAGATGAGAAATATTAACACTAATCATTTTCAAGAAAACTAAAACAGTCTATTACCTGGGAGGCCAGCAGGTGGTGTGAGGGAAGGATTCTATCTTCAGGACATAAGGCAGGTCTGTTTTAGCTGTTCCTATAAGATCGGTAGCTGAAACAGCACTAGTAACCAACACTTCTCCATCAACAGGACATAAATTGATAGAGTCGGTGGCTGAGGTGCTTTGAATGTTTTCTTTGTCAAGAATGAAGAGAGTTCTATTCTCTAATCGAAGGTAATGTTTTTCCCAACCTTGTTTACCACTTCTATAAATAAAGATGAATTTAACAAATTAATTTTTCACTCCTTTTATAAAAATAATTCTAGATTTTGGTGCTTCTTTTGCTGTTTTATTTCTCATTTTATAACCTAATACTCACAGAAATTCCTTTTTTGAAACTTGGGTTTAGATTTTGTCAGTATATAACAAAATATACTAAAGTCAGATTTTCAAACAAAAAAAAAGCTTAAAAATGTTTTACTTCTTTATTTTAAAAATAGTACACCAAACATCATTCACAGTTTATCACAACATCTAAATGATGCTATTCTGTGTTTCATGAACCTAAAAATTTGATCTCTTTAAAACCATCAATTTTTTTAAATTATGCTTCAACTATAAAATAACCCTCTGTCAAAAAAAACCATAATATTTATAGTTTGGATAATATTTCTATTTCATGGTGCATTTACACGTTTTGGCAATATTAAAGATGATACTTGAAATAATTCACATAAATATAAGTGATAAAACAACATAAACAAATCTAGTTTGATACATATAATGAGTCACAACAGAAGTTGATAAAACTCAAGGTTATTCTGCTAATAATTCTCAAAATACCAATTCTAAAATACTTTCTTAGCTAAAAATTGTTGAAGTAGAATTAGAACTGTTCATTTTAATCAAACTTTGAAATTTGATACACTGGTAAGCACTTGACAGTTGACTTTAGAATTATGATTACAAAGTTCACTGTTTTATTATTTCAAGACTGAAGTAGTGGTGTGGTTGAAATGAATAAATGTGAAGTATCTCTTATCTAGATCATAGAAAAACAATAATTAGTTCCTACAAGAGAGCTCAAAAGTTAACAATTTCCTACACTGAAAATGTATTTCCGATAGGTACTTACCTCCTATCACCCAATGTATCTCGACCTTGATTTGCCTTCTAAGCATTGCTAAAAATGTTTTCACTAATGTTTTGCACCAGTCTATCATACCCATTTATTTTCACACCATTTCAGAACATGTGCATATCATGTGACTACACTCCCCCCAATCATACTGTGCCATTTATACTAGTGCAGATAGCTTCCTCTACTATTCTAGCACTATCCTTACTATCAGTGGGAAGTGGGTGAGAGGAGGTAAGTACCTATCAGAAATACATTTTCAGTGTTAGAAGACATTAACTTCTGAAATGGCACTACCTCCCCACACCCAAAGCTAGAATCCCACATTGAAAATGTGGAGGGGCTGGTACAGGTGTGACCATATTGAAATAAGTGGATAACAACTGCCTGAAAAGAACAGGTGTGCCAGAAAATAGTAAGGTATAGCACAACTTCTAGAACAGGTATACTCCTCGTCCAGTAATGAAACAGTAGTATATATAGGGCAGAATGTATGAGGCAGGCATCATATACTCAAGAAAAAGGTGCACAGCACTTTGCTTTGGAGCACTGCAGTATAACTATGACATGAATCAGCATAGAGGGGAGGTACGAAATGTCTAGTATATAATCAACAATGGGGCTCAAAGAATTATGTGCCAAGGGAAGATTCCTTGGCACACTGGAGCGAGTCCACTGATGTCTTGTCAAGGCTACTGGTAACAACAAGAGCAATCTTCCTCTTAAAAAAAAACAAGTAGTGATATGAAATTTTGTCTGATAATTCTGAATCAACCCATTGTCAACAGATAGTGCATTATTTGTCCACATATGCAGTAGATCATAGTATGTGATATAGGAATAATCAGTCATAGTAAGGTGCTAGATAATGTGGTACAGGGCTAAAGTACCACAAATTGTATATGAATATGCCAAGTGTAGTCTGCCTGGACACAAAACATCCAGGGGAAGTGCCTTGGAATATGATAAATTATACCAAGTGCAGTCCACCTGGGCAAAAAACATCCTGGGGAAGCTCTTTGGATATATAATATTATGGCCAAGTGAGGTGTGCCCGAGCAAAAAACATCTGGGGATAAGTACCTTGGGATATGTCAGATTATGCCAAGTGCAGTTTGCCCAGGCAAAACCCAGAGAGAGAAGCACCTTGAATATATAGGATTTGCCCAAGTGCAGTCTGCCCATACAAAAACATGCAGGGGAAGTGCCTTGGGATTCTATTGAGTAAGTCACGTGCAGTCCAATCGAGCAGAAACATCCAGTGAAGCACCTTGGATCCAAAATAGTATGTTATTGCCTATTCAATAATCATAATAATGACAGCTCTCTTCTCACTGAGTGGGTACTTATAAGTTACGAGTTTGATTTCTTTCATTGTACAATCTCACTCAGGAGGAAACTTCCATGGTCCACAACATTGTGCAGCCTGCAACCTTCCATGAACAAGTCAGAATACACTAGCTGTATGAGTTCCCAAACCCAGCCAGTAAGGGCAACAAGAGATAGATCCCAGGAAACAGAGAGATTTCAGGGAATAAATAGGTGGGAATGGGTGCCATGAAAGGTGGTGGTATGAGACACATAACAATGCAGCGAATGCATAGGACAGAGAAAATGTTTCAGATTAGAATGTGAGTACAGGCAGGAAATAGACGGTAAAGAAGCGGAAAAAAAAGGTGAAACAACCTTTACAGGCAGCAGTTGTATTAGGAAGGAAGGCTCAATCTGGATAAAAGATAACATAAGAGGAATGGTAAAGGATACAGAAAACATTAATGGCATAAACATTGGAATGATGATGACCACATGCCAGGATGAAAAGGAATTAGGTCTGGGAAAGATGGATACAAGGAACATGGAGCAATGGGTTCAAAGGGAAAACCATACAAGGAATAAAGAATAATACTGAGATCCCAATCTGAAAGAACAAAAAGACATGGTAGATGAACAAGATGAAAGGAATGGAAAAGGAGGGAAATAATTGCGGAGGCATAAGCTTTACAGAATCGGAAGAAACAGAATGTGTTTGACAGAATAGCCTTATAACTAGCAAATGTTGACATGGACAAACCCTGATCAAACAACCAGATAAACAATTGGGACAGACAAGAAACAGATGGAAGGAAGCCATGGCAAAAGGACCACCATCTGAAGGTAGACCAATTTCTTTGGTACACAGACAATGAGAAATGCCAATTGGTACCAGTAAGGAAAGATACTAAACGAGGAGTGATTCCTTGAGCTTAGGCGAGAGAAGGACAAAAGCCACTCTTGAAGATGAAGTTTGGTGACATCCGGATGAAATATGTCTGATTGTGGGTGTCAGAGGATCGACTAGGACAGAGGTCAAGGCAGGGGCTGCTGTACCAGTGAGGGACAGAGCAGAGAGAACCACATCTGAGCCAGCCAATATGGAGCAAGTAGCAAAATACAACAAGGAGTGGTTTGGATGATGGAAATGACCTGTCATATAGATGAAGGTCCCTCCAATCCTGACTGAATGAATCCACTCTCAGAGCTGAGGGGTGTGGAACAGGAGACCCAAAGGAAGGTAGTTTGGCATTCCAGTGAGTGGCAAATGCATCTATATGTGGTGTTCCTAGGCAAGAACACACCCACTGAAATTGGGTGGGATGAAACGAGCACTCAGCCACCAGTACAGGATGTCAAGTGTCTGAAGACACAGAGACCAGGACTTAGTTCCCCTTGTTTGGCAATATAGCTGATGACAGTGGAATTGTTGGAATGAACCACTACCACCCTTCCCCGGAGGAGCGGGAGGAAATGACACATAGCCCAACAAACAGCCAATAGTTTGAGAAGGTTGATATGGAATGTAGTTTCCACAACTGACCGCTGACCCGAAATCTCTCTGGACTTGAGAGAAGCTCTCCAGGCTACCAAGAAAGCATCTGCGAACAAATGAGCATTGGGATAAGGTGGAGGAATGGTAACCCCCACTGTGGTCATTTCCCTGCTGTGCCACCTTGTAAGGTCGGTCCTGATCCCAGGCCAGAGAACGAAAGGATAAATCAAGGGATCGTGGGATAAGTTCCACTGGTCAATAAGCATCCACTGAAGGGAATGCATGTGTGCCCGACCCTAAGGAACGAGAGCTTCCAAACTCTTGTGCAGTGAAAGAAGGCGAATGTACTGCCCACTCTATATCCCTGAGCCAAAATGGAGAAGGTTGGGCCTGACTAAGATGATTATTGAAGAAAACTCGAAATGAATAATATATTGTGTAGGGGTTAGAAGGAACTTCTCCAAATTGATAAGAAACCCCACCTGAGCAGCTTATCGAAGAAGTAATCGGGTGTGATAGACTGATTGGGCCTGGGAACATGCAAGCAGAAGCCAGTCATCCATGTAATGATGAGTCCTGAGACCCAACGAGTGAAGATGACAAGCAAATGAGCAAACTACTCAACAGAACACATAAGGAGGTTATGCCAGACCAAATGTCAGTGCACAGAAGACACAGACATTGTGACAAAACCCGAAGAAAACGACGTGACCTTGGAGCTCAGGGAATATGAAAATAGGTATCCATCACATTGAACTTGGTTATCCAGAGTCCCAGGGAAATAACCCACCAAAAAGAGATAGGACTCCATAGTGAACAAGAGGTGTCTCCAGAAAGGTATTCATCCAGGGACAACAAATAGATGGGAGTAAAATTACAGATGAGCGGGCATGACCTGTTCAATATCTCCTTTGTGTAGGTGGTCCCAAACTAACTCGGCGAGACGACTGGAAGAGGCATGATCCTGAGGAGGAGGGAAGGAAACTGGGGAAGAGGATAGGGGGGAACTGAACTGAAATCAAAGACCCTCTGACAGAACTTGTAGAACCCACGGATCCACTGTGCAGATACACCAAAGGTTTGAGAAGTGTTGCAATCTAGCCCCCATCTGCCCTGGAAACTACATCCTGTCACATATACCAGTGACCCCTGGAGGAACAGGAACGGAAAACACAAGGGTAAGGAATGCCTGGAATAGGGTAAGAAATGGGGAGAGGAAGTAGGGGCATGGGGAACTCAAAATGTTGAATCGTGGGTGGGAATAGCCAATCAAGATGCTAGGGAAGACAAGGAGGAATGCAACTTTGCTACATCAACTCTAGACTCCAAAGACTCAGGACAATCCCTCAAAAACCATTTTATGCAGGAACAGGGCCTGACCAAGATCCTTTTAAATAGACAGGGAAGATGCATCCCCTCAAGTAATGCGTTTCTACTCAGCAAATCCAAACAACATAATAACAAGGTTAAGGGACAGTGCAGATGCCAATAAATGGGCCAGAGTAGACCACAGGAGAGTCCTGAGCTCATCAGAAAATTGATCAGGTGATTGGCAAAAGGCTTGAAACAACAACTATAATGAGGAAATAATATGCAAAAGGGTGGTCAGGGAAAGCCACAGGGGAAGGAGAGAATCCAGATGTTGGGAAACCAAAAAGGGATTCAAGGCCCACTGGTAAGCCATAGAAAATTGAGCATGAACTCGGATGTCAGATGAAGGAGGAAAACATAATAATCAGAATGAGGTTCTTCACCCAACAAGGTAAGAAAGGAATCAAAGGTTAAAGGTGAAACATTTAAAATTTGACATACCTGATCAACAAGGTTTAGGAATGGCAAGGTCAGCAAACTCTTCTGCCTGTCAAAATTATGTGACTGACAAAAAAGTCCAAATTATCTTCCCCCTGAATAAATTCTTTCTCAGAAGCTAGTTCAGGGAGAACAAACCAACTACTGAGCAAAGTGTCCAACTCCATGCAAATTAAAGCTTGAATTTCCTCGGTAGATATCGTCAACCTATCTTGCTAGGGACTAGTGACATTACCATCCTTCGTCATCCACTACCATAAAATTTGAATTCAAATGAAGGAAGAGTTCTTTTAAAAACAAAACTAAACTTCAAAAGTAAAGACTTTAAACTGATGAAGGACTGAAACACAATCATAACAAAAAAGCAAGCACATGGAGCAAAGTAAACACATGTCTATACACTCTAATTCCAATCGAGAAAGTGATGATTGTGCTATAATAGTAGAGGGAGCTACCTGCACTAGTATAGGTGGCACAATATGATTGGTGGAGGGTAGTCACATTATATGCACATGTTCTGAAAGGGCACGAAAATAAATGGGTATAATAGACTGGTGCGCTATTAGCAAAATATTTTTCAGCAATGCTTAGAGGGCAAATCAAGGTCAAAATGGTAGTACTGTTTTGGAAACACTACAAATCTGATGAAGTTCATAGTTGCATATTAATTTGTTTTTAACTCGCGCTATGAAAACAGAGTAATTTTAAACCTTGGAAGCTTAACCCAGCCCTGGGTAACATCTGCAGTCATTTCACTACTATTGTCAGCAAACGTGACCTTCAGAGATGGTCGATGTTGAGATTTATTGCTATTTTTCTTTTTTAGAGTGTCAGTGAAGTGCTGGACATATCCTGATGGTAGACAGCAAGTGCTAGGAAGGGATGTAGAACATTTGATGTGACAAGTCACCTCACATTCTATAAAAGTATCAGGAAAATACTGAAAATTAGAAAGCTTTTACAAAACAAAATTAACAGAAAAGTGCATTATATTTCTTTTTGTTTATACTTCTGTACGTTATAGCCTAAAATTAAAAGATTACATATAGTACATTTATCAGTATAGTAATGGGAAAATAAATATATATATTTATAAATATAAAAGTCAAAAGAAAAAAATATTGAGATAAATTAAAAACTATACTGAAATGGAAGACATCATTACTGGAATAGTTTTGTATTTTGTTGTTTGTCACACTTTTGCAACATATATAAGCTGAACTTCAGCAAACAGTTCATTTGATACTTGAAAAATAGATATTGATGCTAAATTATTTCTTTATGCTATTACTATTGTAAAGAAAAGCATGTAATATCAAGTACACTCTAAAAAAATTATTGTAAAGGAGGAGGATAAAAGGAAATTCATGATGATACAAATACAAGTTAATGTTTTCAAAGCTTATCTCAATTCACATTACCTAAACACCTGCTTGCAATTCGACCAAAGTGAATGGAGTCTAGACATGCAGCACATTTAGTTCCTCGCATAGTTAGAACCTCTTGAAATCTATGAGGTATGTTGTGATGCATACGTTGCCCTTGTGGCTTGCGATATACAGATGCTGTTTCCTTCGTAATGAAGGTGGCTGGACTGTCAGTACTGTTGTTGATGTTAACACCGGGAGAAAGTGCCAATGCAGAGAGTACTGCACGTGACTTCGGTGATGTTGGAATAACTGATAAGTGGCTAGTATTTTCAAGGTCACCGTGAATCTTTGAAATATGTCCAACTAATAGCAACAAATACCATCGGTATTAATAAAGCACCATTAATATATAACTAACAAAAAATATACTTTTCTGATTCTAAATATCACTATATAGAATAAAATGAAGGTGCTAAGTAACAAATCTATACATATTAATTCCTATTATAGTAATTCATGACATTTATTTTATCAACATTATGATTTTAAAACAAACTTTTTCTTGAAATGATTCCTTATTCCTAACATAACCATTTATAAACAAAAAAATTAAAATCCAACTATGCCACTCTATTTCATGAAAAAAACTGTATTAATGCTAAATGGAATTCAATACTACTGGAAAGTCAAATGAAATTTCAATAAATCAAGAACTAGAAATAGAATAAACAAAATAATTTTGCTTGGTAACTAAGCCTTACTATCTGTTTTACAGGCCATGACTTCTGCTCGAGACTTATCAAGCTGTTCTTGTAATCTTCTACATTTTGTCCTCTCTCTCTCAAGCATACCTTCCAATTCACGCCACTGTAGGGGAATTGTTGATGATCCTGTTTCTCTGCTTTTGTTGCCAAAGAAACGCTATAAAGATTGATGTAATATCTGAATACCACACATACATAATTATCTAGACAAGTCAAAGCTACCAAAACAATATATTTACCTAAAATGTCAAAGCATCTGCAATATTATATAACTGAAAGTCTCACACTATACAGTTTTGTTTAATCATATGTAAGGTCTATCTTCATTTAACATTGGTAGACAAAAGATGAGACTGGAACTGCCATATATTAGTGTACAATATGGGAAATGTTTAATCAATTTAATAGTGACTGAATGCTCTAATTACAATAAATAGAAATATTTAAAGTTACTCTTATAGCATTAGGAGCATGTTTAATAACATTATGGTGCAAACCTTGAACATTCTGATCCACAACCCAACAACCAAGACAATGCTACCAATGAAATATCTTAAATTTAATTTTAATACACACAGTCAAGATGCACATAGATAAACTTTCATGTCACAAAGCCTTCAATCCTCCACTTGAATGTTTACAAAAAAAAAAAATTAAACATTATGGCTGTATGAAATATTACAAAAAGAAATATCTAAAATAAATAATGTAACCATTACAGTATCTTATTCAGCTACTGAATCATTTACAACTGTATCTAATATATTTATACTTTATCAGGAATTAAATTATTTGAAAAGAATATTCTTATTTAAAATTTAGGACGTCAGTCTAGTATTTTCATTACTATAACATTAAATCAGATTTCGGATATTTCAAATAATTCATCTTGGTAATATCAGTTATTTAATAATAATAGCATGTGTATAAATGTATATAACTATCATTAATGGGTTAAACAGAAAAAACTATAATGTAGCAAAGTGCATAAATAGACATTAAACATTAGTTGGGTCAAACATTCAGTATGACAGAAGTTGTTATACTAGTAGTAGTGCTACATCATTAAACTACTTTATCTGTACTTTGAAGTTGTTACATTAGTAGTAATGTCATTAAGCTACTGTATTTGTACCCTGAAGTATTTACACTAGTAGTAGAGCTATGTCCTTAAGCTATTGTATCTTTACTTTGCAAGTTTATTGAACCTGTTATTTAATCTATAACATATTACATTTGATATTCTGTTTTCTTTTTTGGGCTATCTATTAACATTTCTCTATTTTTTTAAATTTATTTTCCTGGGTAATTTTTAAAAGCTTGTTGCAGATTAAGAAACATGATTAATTAAATAAAACTATCATTAGAAAAGATATTGTTTTCAAAACAGTTGTACACCAAAAAAAAATTATATGTAACATTACTTTTGCATTTTGAAAACCCTTCATTATTAGATGATCACCAGAAAGCTTAAAAACAATAGTGAATCATAAAGGCTCTTGAAAGGAGTACTCTTCAAGAAAGTATGGAAGTTTATATTTAATTAGACCTTTTAAAAAATAAAAGGCCATGCCTATGAAAATAAAAAATGCACTTATACACTTTAAGCATTGAATGGTAAAAATCATCATATCAAACAAAATATAAAATTTGGTCACAAGCTATTAAAAACAGATGAAGAAGTATGATATTGGGCCTTACTGAACAACTTAGATTATATATTTCTATTGGTGAGCACTTAAAACTCCTATCCAATGAAATAGACTGAAGCTCTTGTATTTTCAGCAAATTATTAACTTGAAGTGAAAAAATTAATACATTTCCAGTTTCCAATAATCGTTGAAAGTTACACCATTCCTTTTAGTAAAAACCCATCAAAAACAACTTTTTACATTCTTGTCAATTTCATTTCTTCTTGTGATGGTTTTTATAATAACTTTTACTCAGTTTGTCATCTTGTTCAAACACATGCTTTCCTACTCCTGTTGCCATTGAAACAATATAAACATCCGCTATATTATTGAGATTTCAGAAATTGGTTATCATCACATAGAACAGCCAATCAAATTTAATTTTACTGGCACTTGATTATCTTAACCTAAACTCTTTTGTTACTGATTAGATGTTATGACATTTGGCTGATTATTAATACATGGTGTGCCAGGAAGATGGAAAATAACACAATCCAAATTTCTTCTACACACATTCTACTTATTGACTGACAGGTAAACTATCTACATTACACATATGAAAGCTGTATTTTAATCAGTGGAACATACTTTTTTCTTCTTTTCCAAACCCTCAACTTTTGCTTGAAGAAAATCAATAAGTTTGGTCTGCTGAGCAATCGTTTCTTGGAGTTTTATTTTTTCATGTTCATGGGAAACCTATGAGGATCAATAAGCAGATTCCAGTTAAAAACATATATATTTGTTTCATTAGTTTTTCTAACACCTACTGCTATTTCTTTTCAGAAACAAAAAACATTTTAACATGTGTAAAATATGAGAATGCCAAGAATTTTTAAATCTAAATAACTATGTCAACTATTAAAATCAACTCCATACCTTACTGATTTCCATAGTGTTGTAAAGTTCTTCAATTTGTTCCTTAGACTGATTAACCTTTTCAAGGGCTTCTTCCAAACCTTGGGTAAGCTTGAGGTTTGATGCCTTCAATGATGATATTTGAGTAATGTGTTTGGCTGCCTGTAAAAGTATTTAAAACAAATGTTCTAATAGTGACAGCATTTCTTAAGTATAGGTGTTTCTCTTACTATAAATTCTCATATAATCTGCAGTTTTGAGTTAAAAAATACATTTTGTAAAATAGTGTGCATACACAGAATGTACTACAAAAATAGTATTTGTGGAAACAAAATAAAGTTTAGCTATATTCAATAAGCTAACTATTTTTCCTTGTTTTGCCATTTTAAGCATATTGCATCTTAATACTAAACTGGTAATTCTTTATACAAGTAACATTTCTGATCAGCTTTTAACCTAACTTAAAATTTCAAATCTTAGCAACTGTAAGAAATTTCTTGTTAGTCACATCTCATCAAACACAATATATCTGTAGAAGATTACCTTCATATGTGTCATATACATTGATCATTCTGTGGCTATTTAGTTTTTTTCTTTGTTCACAATTGAAGAATAATGGGATTTTTTTTTCACTTTATGGATGTTTAGACTTGAAAGTGAGCACAAACTGTTGGAACTGGAGGAGGAAGAGGAGACTAACCAAGCTATATGGAAAGCAGAAGTAGAGACTGCCCAGGAACAGCTGGCCTATCAACGGGAAGTTAGCAGTCAGCTGACTGAGCAAATGTCTGATCTAGAGAGACAACTAGCCACTCAAAGTCAGTCTTTGAAACAGTTTCAACTAAAGGTAACCAGCTTGGAGGAAGATAACATCCAAGTGAAGGAAGAGGTATGTTATTAAAGGAAATAAAAGAGGATCAAATTAAGTATATTTAAATTTGATATATATATATTAATCATAACAAACCTTCAAAACTAATACATGAATAAAGTATTTAACTATATAAATTCCTAAACTAGAAACAAGAAAGTAGTTTCATCCTTTTAGTTCTTTAATTATATTACTAATTACTTAAGTTACTAACACTATAATTATGCAAATAATTGTTTTTATTAACTTTCAGTGTACCTTAGTGAACAAATATACATTTATTTTTATTTGTGTTTTGTACAAAGAATTGTTTTTATTAACTTTCCTGACTATAAATTTTTAAACTGCTCATAAGGTAGTTACAATAACACTAATAGTCTGAAGATGGTAACAAAAACACAAAATTAGATGTATATTTTTTCACTAAGATACATTGAAAGTTAATAAAAAGAATTCTTTGTACAAAACACAAATAAAAATAAATGTATATTTTTCACTAAGGTATAGATTATAATGAGGCAACCAACAGAAGAAAAAAAGAAGACAATCAGAAAACAAACATAGCAATGATTCAGTGTAGTTTATAGATTCCCATTGTCACTATGGTGAATAGTAGGCTTTTCTACTTGCCAACTTGTGACACTAATCACAACACTTAAAGTGGCAAGTACTTAGCACAACCACAGACTGGGTAATCAAATCATGTTACATCTGCATGTATATGCCCTATGTCACAAATTTTTTGTGGCTCCAATCTTAGATTGGCCATTGGACATAAGATAATTTTATACATATGTTTTATAATACATATAACTGAGTGAGACAGTTGCATGCTTCAAGAAAGAACTCTGAAAATATTTAAACTTTGTGTTTGTTTGTTTTTAATTATGCACAAAGCTACACAAGGGCTATCTGTGCTCTGCCCACCACGGGTATCGAAACCCGGTTTCTAGCGTTGTAAGTCCGCAGACATACCGCTGTGCCACTGGGGGGCTTTTTAAACTTTGTCAAAAAATAAAAAAAAAGATCCATTTTCATGACTGTTGCAAGCATGTATCCGAAATCTATTGTGAAGAAAAAGAGTTAACCATTTGTGAACTATTCATAAATTTATTTTAATATTTCCAAATTTATTGTTTATAAAAATGAGTGCAGATATACAAATTAACATAGCTTTCATGACAGTTATTTTCTGGCTACATTTGTTAATGTCAGTGCTAAGTTTGGCCAAGATACATAGATGTGTGGATGGAAAATAAAGGTAGAGTGATCGATTGTTTGTTTGTTTTCAAAATTTTAGGCAAACTTTGTCAAGGGTTATTGGTGCTAACCATCCCTAATTTAAAAGTAATAGACACAATAGTGAAGGCAGCTAGTGAACACTATGCATCACCTGCTCTTGGGTTACTCAAAGAAAAGTAGGATTAACTGTCACATTATAATGCTCCTACAGATAAAAAGGTAAGCATGTTCAGTGACAGGATTCGAACTTGTAATCTGCAGATTGCAAATCAAGATGCCCTATACCGTGATAGATAATGCTTAGTATCTTTACCTAAACAAATGGTTTGAAGTACACAGTTACTGCTTACATCATTCAGTTCTATTAAACAATTACATATATAGAACATTTTAGTTGAAAACAAATGCTTCATTGCCAATTATACAATGACTTCAAACTACTGTTTCAAATTTAAATTAAGAAAAATTATCAAAATTTACATGTAATTTGGTTGCAAATCACTAAATGTTAACATTTTCCTAAACTGAAAATGTATTTCCAATAAATACTTACCTCCTCTCACAAAAAGCTTTCTTGCCTAGTACTGCCCTCTATTGGCAAAAATATTGCTCGCCACTAGCCTTGATACTCCCACTTATTTCTGCACACTAATATGCAAATGACTATGCAGCAACCTTCCACCAGTAGGAGTGCGACACTACCCCTATCGTAACTAGCACCCCCTCTAATCTTGCAGCTATTAATCACTTTGAAATTGGTCAGATCACACCAAATGAAACTGGAAGTGGGGAAGGACGGGTGGGAAAAATGAGTGGAGTTAAGTATCTATCAGGAATACATTTTCAGTTTAGGAAAATGTTAACTTCTGATATGATAGCTAGAATCCCACATTGAACTGGCCAGTGAGAAGATGATCCCCTTTAGGAAGTCCCCAAAAGAAACCATGGGGTGTGAGAAGGAATTAAAAACAACACACCTGTGGGAGAATGCACCACTTCTGAGCCAGGAAGGCTCTTCACCCATTAGTAATGTGTAACCAAAAGGGTGGAAACATGGAGGAATACCAAAGAACAAAACAAAAATAATGAGACCCCCTGGTGTAGAGTGGCTAGGGGATGACAGACCGGAAGTGAGAGTTCGACATCAACCAACACCTGGCAGCATCTGGAATTTTACATTAGGTCCACAGTAAAAAGAGGTTCATCTACCTTTCACCTGAAAAAACTAATATGGCAGGGAAGAAGAACTCCCTTACCAAGAATCCATCTCTGTATGTCTGTACCTCCAACACCAGATTCCCCAGCAAATGGTAGGAAGGAGGAGAGGGAAAGCCCAGGTGAGTGATCATCTCTGGTCCAAAACCTGGCAGAATTGGCAGAATTTTTCTTCCACTCCATGGTAAGAGGAAGGTACATCCAAACACATGTGAAGAGTTATGTGGCTCGTCTGGCTCCATCAAAAACCTGATCTCCGGGAACTGACATCCTGCAAATGGTAGGAAGGAGAATGCCTTAGCCAGAGGGCAAACTGCAATATATGGTGGAGTGCTACATCCAATACCTGGTGACATCTGGAATTATACATAAAGTCTGTGGTAAAAAGGGTATCATGCCATCTACACCAGCAGAATACCACTGCCCTACTCTCAACTGAGTAGTATTGTGCACACTCAGGAGGACAGACCTCCATGGTCTACCACCACAGCAGCTAGGAACTGGGAAATGACAAGGACTCTCATACTCCACTAGAAAGAGAATGGAAAAAATGCATCGGAAAGTCCGGGGGACCACAGCACTGCAGACGGTGCAATGGGTGACTGTGATACCCTGTTTTGAAAAACAGAGCAATCACGTCGACAGGGTCAATAAACGAACACCTGGAAGGGCTGTGGTAAAAAAAAAAGCCTCAACACCACGGATCATCAGAGATGGGCAGTAATCCCTGTCGGCTTTACCCATGTTAGTTCACAATGTACAGTCTGGGATGAACATACTTATGAAGCAACAGACTATGAGGGATACCCACAAGCAGTCCTGCAGAACACCCCATCTCAATGGTGTGTGTGTAACATGACCTTGTGACATGTTATGATATAGTATTTCAATATATAGAGGACATATTGATGAAGTTGATCAATCAACACCTGGAATTGTACATCAGGTCTGCAGTAGGAAGAGCCTCAACATCACAGTCATCTAGCATGATATATGATCACAGGTCATACAGTGTAGATTTAAGACTAAGTATACCCGGTCAGGCAACCCTCGCCACAGAGCAGGATCCAAATATGCGATAAAGGCCTCTGCAAAGAAGAAATAAAATAAACTGAATACTTACCACCCACAGATAAACAGTTACAGCTCTGATGATGTCCCCCAAGGGAAGATGGAAATGTGCAGCAAGGGATGTGGTAAAGTGAAGGATCTGATGGGAAGGCAACAATCAAAAGGACAAAGGGAAGAAACTGGCAACTTCAACCTGGAAGTGTTACAGGAAAAAAATCATGGGAGAGGTGAAGATATCACAGAGGAAACAAATGGACTTGGGAACCATGGAAGGGAACAGTACATGTCATATAACTTCGGAGAGCCCTGAAAAGGATATCAGGAGAGATGAGAACCTAAAAACTAAGAAAACAAAAAGATACAGATAATATCAATCACGAACACATCAGAAAGACAATGTTCACACACCAACAAGAGCAGGAACAGGAACTTCCTGGAAAGGTGAATTAAAAAAAAAACACAAAGATAAAAGGTCCAATGGAGGATGGGGAGGACAGAACAAATGGAAGGAACAAAACAACATGGATAAGACTGCCAACTGGAAAACAAAACCAAAGTCAGTAAACCAAAAAGTGGCAGATAATGCCACCCTATAGTTCACAAAAAAAGAAACTGAAAGGCACTGTTGAAAAAGCCAAGACAAAAAGGACAGTATGTGAAGAACCGAAGAAATGGTAAGGACAATAAACCCTTCGGACAGACCAAAAATGGTACATGTACCACGTACAAAGATAAACTGCCATGAAGGAAAAACGAACAGGATGGAATACAAAGGGAGCTACACACGAATATCCAACCCTTCAAGCAAGGGACTGGACAATGCCACGTGATGAGAACAGTTTGTAGATACGGACAGATGACGCACTCCAGAGTATGGCTGACAGAAGAATGGTGCAGCAGTGGATACCACATGAGAGCTGGCCAATACATAGCCACCAGCAGAACAAACACTACATGGAGTGGTCTGAAGTATGGCAAGGACATATGGGAGTAGATGAATAAGAATATCAACCCTACCAATCATGATTGAGAACATCGACTGCTCCTGCCAGAGGACGAAGAACAGGAGACCAAGATTGGAAAATTGGTGTATGGAGAAGAGTGACAAAAGTGTTCAAATCTGGGACACCCCACAGAGCACACAAAATGGGTAGGTCTGAAGACAACTTTGCAGGGATAACCAGCCCTGATCAGATTCAGGGCACCCAGATTATGACATGCCAACAAAATGATGGGACGGCAGTGGGCCTAACACATAAGATCCAATGTTTGCAAACTGAGGTCTTGGAATGTCTCATATGCAGCATCTCATCCTCTCCTTCTCCTAATGTGTTGGGTTTTCTCTGTTTTGGGAATATGTGCTTCTCTCAAAGCCCTCATTCCTCTTGGTCATGCCCTCATGCATGATCGTCACTGGGTTTTGATAGGCAAATGGAGTTTTGTTTGGAATCCTTTAGATGCTCCTCTTACCCTTCCTTCTCCCTTATAGACCGTATCTGACTGGTGGTTGGATCCGAACAATACTATCTTCTGGAATGTCACCTTTTACAGGTGCTTCTCTTTCCATTTGGGAATGTATCTTGACTATCCGAGTCCTCTCTTGATCTTCTTGCTGTTCGTAAGGCTTTCTTTCACTTCCTGTGGGCTTTTGGAACCAGTTTGTGCTGGTTCACTTTGATGGTTGTAGGGTTGTCTCATACATCACTGGGTAAGGGGCACTATTTTGGCTAGCTTGCAACTGAAGTAGAGCATGTAAGGCCCAACAAAGGAAGAAGTTGAAAAATACCCCAAGAAGAACCAAAAAATTGTGTGGGTATAAAGAAAAACTGAGGATGGAGGATCAAGTCATCTTGTGAGGAGGCAAGAAGCAGCCATATGTCTATAGAACAGTGGAAACGAAGGCCCCTGGAGAAAAAAACTGGATCCCTAGGAGGAAGAAAGGAAACAGGATTGTGAGACAATGGGAGAGATAAATGGAAGTAGAGGACCATACTTACTGAAAAGACTGTAAGAACCCAATGGATCCCCACACATAGGTAAATTTAAGGAGTCTGGTCCCCCCACCAGCCCTGACCCGAGAAGGGCAGTCAGAGTAAGACAAATATGGGAAAAGGTAATCAAGTTATCGGGGTTCGTTCCCCCCTTAAGGGAGAAGCTAGATAAAATGCTGCAAGTCCAATTAAGGAAAGTTGAAACAATGATAATCAAAATCATGATCGTCCACACTACACGAGGGTCGAAGCATACCGACTCCTGAAGGCAAATGCTCTCCAAAATGACTTGCATGAACCCCAATATCCAGGGAAGGAGAAAACACTAAAATAATGACCCAAAGGTTAGTCTCCAAAAAAGACAGGGGTGGAACATGGGAAATGGGAGATACTTGAATAATAAAATCCATCAAAGGGGAAAGAAGTCTGGGAAAGTCACCCAAAATAACACGTGACTCAGAGGCATATTAAGGAGGGGTGGAAAAAAAAAGGCATTCCAAATCCAAAACTTCGCAATCACCGAAAACCATGAGAGAACAATCATCAATTTGTTCTGATTGTTACATGAAACTGGTCAACTCCCGATGGATCATAGCAGTCACTTCGTGAGCCAAAAGTCGTAGTTCCAACCAGTTGGATGTGATGGGGAATTTCGTTGCAGGAGTTGTAATTGTAGCCACCTGAAATTATGAATGCCTAACCCACGAAAGTGAAAGATGAAAAATTTATTCGTAACTATCCATTAAATAATGAGAACAGTAAAGAACAACATAATTAAAGTAAAACAATTAAGAATGTAAAAACTTGTGGATAAATGAACCAAATCATGAGCAAAAACACATCTATTCAATAAGACTTCCAAAGGAGAAGTGGTTAACAGCTGCAAGATTAGAGAAGGTGCTAGTTATGATTGAGGTAGTGTCACACTACTATTGATGGAGGGTTGCTGCATAGTCATTTGCATGTTAGTAAGCAGAAATAAGTGGGAGTATCAATGCTAGTGGTTAGCGGAAATATGCATCAATAGAACACAGTATAAGTCAAGAATGCTTTTTGTGAGAGGAGGTAAGATATCGTATCAGAATCGAGGATTCCATAAATTTAGTACATGTTAAATGTTAACCACTTACTATCCATGGAAAGTTTTCCAATACAGTATCAATGCTTTGACCACAACAAGCCATGCAAGATGCACTTAAATGATACACAAGACATTTAGCATATATATATATATTTACCCACATATATACATGTGGAGATGATGTCTAGCATGCATAAATATATGGGTGGAGATGATAAAGGGTTAATAAGCTAAAACCTACAATAATTAAAACAATCCTATTCATAAAACACAAATTGCAACTTTTAAAGGGTAGAGTTATTACAATGAAAGCTATATATTAATCAAATATCAACAAACTTCAAATTTGCCAATAACATCTTAGTACATTTTTCTACAAGAAAATACAAGTTCCAATATTAATTTAATTTACTTTTCTTGTATATTAATTCGGTCATTAGTAAGTATTTATACTATTTAAGCTATGTTATTTTACAATAAATGTTTGGACTACACACTTCCAGTAAGTATTGGCAATCCCCTTTATATTTTCATGTGAAACCCATGATGTACTATTGCCTAGGGATCATAGAGGTTAGTAGCTGTTATAACCAACCAGATGAAGTCAATATATCATGTGGAAGAGAGCTCAAAAACCTATGAAATAGCAAATGGGGTTTGTTATGTTTATCATACCTAGCTTTCTTTTCCCTAGAAAGTGACAGTTCCAAATTCTTCACTTCTTCTTCAATGCACTGAATATCTTTCTTTAGTGTAGCTCTAGTTGAAAGAACAAAAGTAAATATTATTCATTATAATATATGATTTATTTAGATGTTTTACTACCTAGGTAAAGCTCCCAAGGTCTGAAAATAGAGAATATCATGCATTTGTACATCATAATCAAACGTTGTTCAGAAAAATTATAAACTGCAAACCTTGTTCCACATATTTATTTTTTATTAAATGCAATTCTTAGATCCCTAACTCTTTTAATCTAATTTTTATATACATAGTGTTTCTGGCTCCATAAAAATGGGTCTATAGTAATATCCTCTTACCACAGCATCATATGCAATATATCTTGATATACAGCAGGATTAAAAACCAAATAGGAAAAACTAATATGTTATTAAGCTATTTGTATCTTGTACTTTTACCAAAACTAGCCATATCACCTAATACCAGTACATTTTAACTTTTGTTGTTATCAGCTACCAAATTCATACTAAAATAAAAGGGCAATTTACACAGATTTAACTTTTTCCTTAAATCATCTTTCCACATTATGCAAACTAAATTGTGATTTCTTCCCCAGAAAGTCTACAAGATGCTACAGAAAGTCACTTGGTTCAATATTGTAAAAGAGGAGTGGTTGTATTAAAGGTATCTCACTATATTCAAAAAAAGTGTAAAAACTATAAGCTTAGATACATAAATATTTTGTACTATTTTCATTTTTTGAAATATTGCATACTTCAGTTATTAGAAAAGAAATAAAATATAAAATTTCTAAAAACAAAATGTATCTTTAGTAGTTTTGATTATCTTCAATTGCTATGTTTCTCTCAAATCTTTTTATATATAACTATGATATATGATTGACAACTTGTAAAATTATGTAAACACAGAAATAAATTTAACAAACTTTAAAAACCTCATAACAAAACAAACATTTTTTTTACTGGTGTGAAGTTATGCAATAATTTAAAAATAAATACAACGGGTAGTTCAGATTTTATTGAAATATCACCAAAGATACCCTATGCCTACAATTAATACTTTCATTTTTTAGTAACTAATTGTTCAGATGTTATAAAATAGAATCCACCTCTCTTAGCAATTTTGAGGGGAAAAAAAAAGCAACTAAATGGAAGCTAAATGGTTCTTGATAAATAAATAAATAAAACTAGCAAAAACTGTTTTTAATCATTGTATATCATGAAAATATTTCTAGATATTTGACATGTAGACTTTCTTATACCTGTTAAAACAAAAAACAGGGTTCCTATCATCCTGTATGTTTAATATTACAATCATAACAAAATAATCTTTCAATTAAAAAATCATTATTGTCTGGATGAATTTGTGTAATAATATCATCACAACTCATAATAAAATATGCTTATAATACAAACTTTTCTCTTTCCAGTTTTGCAATAGTTTCTTCTTGTGTGTCTGTCACAACATCATAGTCTTTAAGCTGATCTTCCAGACTGGTGCAGGTAGATTTCAACAAGGTTATATTCTGTTCAGGAGTTTCAGAAAGTCATTTTATTAATTGAATGAAAACTTAGAAAGTTTACATCTCACAAAGATTGAAAATTTTGAACTTTTTAACCAGTAATGGAAATAAAATATAAGCTACCATCATTGTTGGTTACTAATGAGTATATATGACATCTCAAAAGTCTGTACTCATCACCATTCTATTATGTATAATTGATATTGTTTTATTTACTTTCAATACAATTAAAATATATGTAATGGTTGACAATACAAATCAAGAGAAAGTGTGTATGCCAGTTGATGGCATGCAATTTAAACAATTGTTTAATATTAAACTCTGCCAGTATGAGTATGTACCTTTGAAACACTCTGTATAATTAATGCTTGAATGTTTGGCACTACTCTAACACAGATAATCACATCTAACTATAATCTTTCTACTATTAGCTCCGAACTCTCTTTAAACACCAAGGTCAGAATATTAGGGAGCTGGTTAACTACTACTTATTGATTATTGTGTCCTGTATCTTCCCTTTTCCTGTTGAAAATGTTGTCACATGTTAAATAACTTCCATTAAGATTAATGCACCTTTATTGTGGACTTTACTGAACTGCTATCTCCTAAATTTATCTTCCTGCTTCATATTTAAACTATTCACAATGGGTCTAATATTAGCATCCTTAGTTTACACATCCTGAACTTGTTCAAAGAACCACCTGTGTGCACCACAATCCTATAAAGAAACTTTTGGAACTTCAGCTTGCCTTAAAACAGAGCGAACATAGTTGACTTCTCTTTTATGTTCTTTAGTCATCTTTTCTTTGTTAACAATAACTGATACAATACCATCATTGGCTAAAATTATATCTCCCACTAAGTATCTCTTGCATAGTTATTTAATTTCTACTGTATTGCTTCTGTATGCAGTCCTAGTAAATTGTTCCAGGCTTCCTCACTTGATAATTCTCAGCAGTGAAAGCCTTTTCCTGGAAAACTTCACAGCAAATCTGTTAGATGAATCTTTCAAGATTATCTAAGAGTTAGTTCTTCAGAGCCAGAAGGTAAGCAAATAATAGCTGTTCTCATTAATCCATTACTTTGAGAAGGTATTTGGAGTTGTTTCTTGACAGTCTTGGTCAATTTCAGTCCCTTAACAAGTTAAGCAACTGCTCTTAAAGTAGCAGTCTGCCTGCTTTTATCTATTGCAAGTATCCTCGTCCCAAATGGACTAGTGGATTGTTCACATTACATGAAATAAATCCACGTTTTCTCTGGAAACTTTTATATGGAACAACTAACAGTGTTCTTATCAAACTTTTAAATTTTTCTTTTCTTCTTTCTCTAGTCTTGAAGTTGCTTCTTGGCAGCTCTTTCTGAGAAGTCATGCCAAAATGACAGAAGAGTATGCACTAATGAGCGGTAATCATTTTGGTTATTACTCAAGTAGTTTTTCATTGAACTTCATAGGTGTTAGCTGATGGAGAATAAATGATATGACTGTCAAACTAGCTAACTAGTTTTGCAATGGTCCATTCTGTCTGTTATGACATTAAATGGACTCCTACATTTCTAGAAATATGCAAACCTAAAGATCCACTTCCTTATATACTAGGCAATTTTGAAATGTGCACCACTTTAAAAGTTGTGAGCTTAATATTTAGTACTTAAAATTAATGAGTATTATCTTATGTGTCTCAATCCTTCAGCAGCAACTTTTATATTATCTTGAATAAAGATTATCCAAGTTGACCTCTGAAAACCCCTGCATTCCTGTGCTTTATTTTTTTTACTTCTCCTCTAATCTGGTAACTTTATCTTAAGGTTTCTATAAATTTATGCCCATATTTTTCTATTTTCTTTCTTCTGTTTTCACAGATCATCCAGTTATTTTTTATCATATTTTTCTGCATTTCTAAATAATGTATTGTGTTACTTTTCAAAGAATTAAAATTCTTTCCATCAAGACTTTTCATACGTATAACCATTTTTGTCTGTTAATTTTATGTATGACACCAAACTTTTCTATACCGAACTTTTAATTTTTTTTTGGGTTTCACAAATGACTCAGCATTATGAGAAATAAAAACTTGAAAAAATATTGAAAATAAAAAATAATTATATTGTACAATTTTACTTGTAAAATCTACAGTTGAACATAAACTGTAAAGTAACTAAAATTTATTTTTTTTCTAGTGAGTTTATTAAAATGTCTTCATTGATATATATTATTTTGGGTCTGATAAATAAATATATATATAATATGTAATATTAAGAACTTCTGAAGTTTTACTAACATCAAATCTTTCAATCATCATATTCACTCTTTCTTATGTAGTTAACAATTTCTTGCTAGAATTTTAAACATTCTCTATAATGAACTATAGATTAAGTGCTATTCTGATTAAGAAGTTAGCACACAAGAACACGTACAAAAGTTGTAATGGTTTTCAAATGAGACCCAAAACTCAAGCACTTTTGAATAGTTCATTCTTCTTCTTCAAGAGAATAAAGTGAACTATTCAAAAGCACTCAAGTTTTGGGTCTCATTTGAAAACCATTTTAAGTGCTATTCTTGCATTAAAAAAAAAGAATCCTGGCCTAATAAGCAAAAAAACTTCAACAATGCTACCAATCAGCCATTTAATTTTTAACATATAACTGTAAAGAAAATTTATCTTTGATTAAACTGTATCAATTGTGATTATAATTCTGGTAGCACTTGCATTAAAGTATTTATAACCCAGGGACTGTCATTACCACCCTTCAACTTCTTTAGAGTTCTTTCTCTCTCCCTCCCCATATGCACACAGGAGTTGAAAAACAATTAATATGCACACATTCATTTATTTGAGCCCTAAAATAAAGTGTAAAATACCAAAGTATGCAAAGATGAAAAAATTCCTATTTGAGGAATTAGGCATTTATTGGTTGGTTTAATAATTTGTATAGTTATTGAATCATAGAAGTTTTATGCTTTATTTCACTATGAACCATTTGATATAGCTAACAACTGGTAATTGACAAAGATAGATAAAATCAAGTATGGAGAAAAACTATTTTATTTTAGTTGTTTGTAATTTGATTAACATTTAGTAACTTAGAAATTTGAGATTAATTAAATAATTTTTTTTCAATTAGTATAAAATATACACAAACAAAAATACAAGGCTGAAATGTTTGTATAACTAAGTTATTCTAGTTCATCTCTACTTAACAACCAAATGGTTTTTGTTTTTTAATAACTTTTAATGTCATTGAAGCATTGCTTATTCCTTTTTGGAAAACAATATACTGATGGTAGCAAAACTGCCTTTGACCCACGCCTTACATGCTACTGATAACAATATTAACATTTGTTTTATCTGAATGGATACTCTACCACATCTTTATTATATACTAGAATATACTCACTGCTTCCAAGCTCTTGATTTTCTTCTTTTCTTCAGCAAGTTCTTGTTTAATTTCATTGTATTCTTTAACTGACTGTTCTTTCTCATGTTCTTTAGCACTGACTTGGTCTTTTAGTAGCTGCAATTGCAAAAAGTAAAAAAAAATTACAGTCAAAGAATAACATACAAAATAAATCTTCAAGAATCACAGAAAAAAAGTCGTAATTTGATGATTAAACTATTTAAAATGAAACTTTAGTTTTGGATAATATTCTAGTGTCAGATCAATAACAGTTTCAAAGCTCCATATAAATAAATATTAAGTTTCTATAAAAGTCTGTAGTTATAAGGAAATGTGAGTCACGTGCCAGGATAGAAAACAATTGAACTATGATTACATTGTGTCAATTATGAAGCACTTTGGTGAGGCTTGCATTCTGAGAGATTGCGTTAAGGTTTTAAAAAAATGTGTATTGTAAATGCATTTGGAAACAACATTGTGTACATATCTTCTGATAAGTGTTGACAAATAAGACAATAAAAACAATGTCTGTGCAGAATTCCCACTCATTATGATGCTGACAGCCTGTTCACAGTGCTGGCTAGTCTACAGCTAGTTTCACCCAAGATTCAGCTGACTGTCATGACAGAATGTCATCAGATATGAGATCAAATCTAATAGAGAAAGCAAACAACTTTGATTCATAATGATTGTACTGTCTGAAATTTAACTATTCTTGCTACAGGCTTGGTAGATTCAAACAAGCTTGTGACCTCAGTTACCATCACAGTTTCTATACTATAACTTTTAAAATGTTTTGTGTATCTTCATGGAATTTCAGTGAACATTACAGGTCTTTTATATACAAAAAACAGGTTTTTTTTAATTAAGTATTTTTATTAAAACTTTCTCCAAGAACATATGGAGTCAATGTGTTGACTGCTCCACGTTCAGTGATTTTCACATTAAAATTAAAAATACTTTTATTCATCTAAATATTATAAAATTTCATTTGCATGATCTCTAAAGCCTCCTAAATAACTATCAAGATTTTTTCAGTAAAACTTTATAGATTATCTGTTATTTTCTCTTTCCTAGCTACCAGAGAGTAAAATTATATCTTACAACAGCAATATTAGGTATACAAATAACAATCTAATATATAACATTCATCACATTACATAGCTAAATATACATAGTAAAAAATCCTTTGACTGTTATGTAGTGTTATGGTAGCAAGTTGTTAAAAATTTGCCTAACTAGCAATAGCTAGTGGGTAGAACACTTGCTTGGCATGTGAGAAATCTTGCAAAATATTAATTAGTAGTGTTTCAGAAGTTTCCGGTAAAGAAAAGTTTTTTTTTGGTTTATGTAAATAGCTATTTGTCTTCAAGTACCATAATTTTGATACTTCACTAATTTTACTTATTCAAAGGATGAAACTTTTCTAAATCAGCAACTGGTGTAATATTTCAGTTCATTAAAACTGACATTGATACTAAGTGAAAAGCACCAGCAGCAGAGACATACAACAGAAAAATTGTAGTTTAAATGTTAATACACACATCTTTTTGCTTATTATCAGTCCTATAGTGATGAAATTTCACGTCTTTTACTCATTAAAGATTCGTGTTTGACCAGCTTAAGCATAAATCTTCTGTTTCAAGAAATGAACACTTCTAATGGACGATCCTCAAATAGTTGAGTCTCTGTACTTTGTATTACAATAGCATGAGTTTGAAAGATTTGTTTATTGGTTGTCATAATGAAAACACTAAGAGCTAGCAATACTCTCTGCTGTAACTAATGGCATAACAGGGAAATAATGATAAAACAAACATTTTTGTAGTTAGTATGAAAGTGAAAAATCTTATAACGTAACTTAGTTGTTAAGATCAACTGTAAAAATACGTTGTGTTATTGTTACAGAATTAACTTTAATTTACAATGATAGTAATCAGCTGAAAATTATGAAACATTATATTTAAAGAAATGCTGAAAAATCCTGATTTAGCCTATGTTATTAAATATTTGTTGTCTGTATCAAATAATAAACAGATGTATAAACATATATTCTTACCCTTACAATACTAGAACTCAACATTTTGTGCAAGAGATATGGAATTAATAATGACAAAATAAAACCACACTAAATCTATCCTACCTGAATTTGATTACTCAGTTCCTCATATTTGCCTTGACTTTTGGCATATTTCTCTTGTAGTTCTTTAGTTGTCTGTAAAGGGCAGTAATGTAAAGATGTTTTAAATGGAAGTTACACTTTCAGCTCCCATCTTTGAATGGTCGTGTATGTTTAAAATAAAACATAAGTTACACTTTTCTAACAAAACATTATTTTTATACTAAGTAGGGAAAATAAAGAAAAAGTGCAGAACTTCACTGTTTTTTTTAGTTTAAGTTTACATCTTATTAACAAAAATTATTCTTAACACATTCACCACTAATGACGTGTTAACGTATCAATCACTTCTATTAGGCACTGCTGATATATTAACACATTAATCAGCAAAGGGGTTATAACTACATATGAACATAGAGATAAACACTCCCTTAGCATTGTACAATGATTATGTGCAATGTATATGCAAATTATGTACAATGATTATCCTGCCCTTTTATAAATGATGAAAGAAAATTTTTTCACAAAAGTAAAGTCACACGACTTAAAATTTCTACAGTGGCTTGTTTGTTTACCACTATAGCTAGAAGATAGAAGGGTTATACAAACATTTTAGTCTGAGTAAAACTGCAAGTATTTTCCAAGAATCTGATCCATATTTGAGGAGAAGGATGTAGATAAGGATAGTAATTATGATCCTAGTGATTCTGAGTCTGATGATGAAAGAGGCCTGGACTGTACAGAATAGGAAAACATTCAAGATGATCCATTCGTAGCTGACAATGCCAATACAGACACTGGAATACCAGCATCAGTTGATAAATGGCAGACTGTTCAGGCTACATGCATTATTCTAAATGATATTTTATTTACTACATAGCCTCAAGTGGTTGCAGGCTTGCCACATGAGGCTATTCCAGTTGACATTTTTTAAATGTTTGTGATGAAGGATGTTGTGAATATGATAGTTGCTGAAATGAATAGGTTTGATGAAAAATTCTTGGAATTGAACTGCCTAAAGCCTAAAAGCAGAATGTGGTGGTGGTGGTCTGCAACTGATGCATCTGAAATGAGAAAATTTCTTGCATTCTTTTTATCATAGGCATTGAGAAAAAAACTACTGATAGAGGATTACTGGTCAAATGATTTAGTACTGGCTACTTCACTTTTCAATACTGTTATGTGACATGATCGTTTAGAATTTTTGCTAAAATTTTGGCACTTTAGCAATAATGAATGTGGCTTAGCACATGGGTTAAAATCGCTGCAGCAGCAAATGTGTTAAAGCACTTAAAAACCAATTGAAAATGAGGTTCACTATACACTTCATAAACACTTTAATAATGACAATGGATATATTTTTGTTGTTGTTTTTAATTGAACCCTGAAACCTCTTTCATAATTACTACCTTTTGACAAGAAAATGTTTTACCTTTTTTTACCAATTATACCTAGAAAAATGTATCACAATTCAACATTATTTTTTTCCCTTTATTCAATCAAAATTTCATGAAATTTAGTGAAATATATTAGAAATTGTTAATCTAACTGATTTTTATCAATAATTATTCTATGGATATGCCAGGAATTCATTTCATGAATGGTGTTAATTATGATTGGCTCACAAAGGAATTTACCAACATTTGACTGCCTCAACTGCACTTTTCTGCCTCTTTGTTGGTCAAGCTTAATTTCACAAAATTATATTTATTTCAATTAGCTACAAAATGTGAGGTTAGGGTACAATATGAGGTAGGGCATGGTACTACTTGCCCCATAATTTTTGAAGTGCTGTATGTTAGTATAAAAATAATCTGCAGGTTTGTAAATGCCATGTTCAATAGTTCCCACTGTTTTATGTGACCATGTATTGTTACTACCAGTCAACAAACTTTTATGGCAAACTTTTAAAGGTAGGATTCCTTTTGCAGAAAGAATGGCAGCTGGGTTTTTAACTCCTAATTTTTGTTGAGGATTCAATGCATCTTAAATCATCTATTCACAATAGCCACATAATGTGGTTGTATCTAGGTGTAAACATTTTCAATAAAACTTTGGAATATGTGATAAATAACTGTTAATCACTTTGAGATTGGTCATAACTAACTAAATCAAATCACTCTGAAAGTGAGGAGGACAAGTGGGAAATGTTAACGGAGGTAAGTATCTATCAGAAATAAATTTTCAGTTTAGGAAAATGTTAACTTCCAACACGATATCTTACCTCCCCTCACTAAAAGCTAAAATCCCATGTTGAACTTGTGGAGGATTGCTGAGAAGATGATCTTCCTTTTGGAAGCACTCAAAGGAAGACCATGAGGTAGGAGAAGGAATTAAAAAAAAAGACACTAGTGGGAACCACACCACTTCTGAGTCAGGCATACTCTTCACCCTTTGCTAAAATGTAAAAGGCAGGAACTTGGAGAGGTTAAAAAAATCCAGAAATAATGGGACCTCCTGGTATAGAGAGGCTATAGTGCAACAGACCATGAATGGGAGTTTGATCTCAACCAACACCTGGCAGCATCTGGAATTGTACATCAAGTCCACAGGAGGAAGAGGGTCCTCTACCTTTCACCTTAAAAATGGGTACCAGTAGGAAAGAGAAGTTCCTGTACCAAGAACCCATCTCTGCATGTGTGCACCTCCAATACAACCAACACCAGATCCCCCAGAAAAATGGCAGGACAGAGGAGAGGGAGAGCCCATGCAGGTGTTCATTCCCGATCCAAAACCTGGTGGCATTGGAAATTTTTTTGTCCAGTCTGTGGTAGGAGGAGGGAACACAGCCTTAGCCGAGTAGGAAGTTGTGTGTCTCGTCCAGCTACAACCAACACCAGATACACAAGCAGGCTGTAGGAAGAGGGACTACAGGTTTGGGGTCGCATCTTCAGTCCCAAACCTGGCAACACTGGAAATTTATCATTCAGACTGTAATAGGAGGAAGGTACCAATCAAACACATATGAGGACTTATGTGGCTGGACCATCTCCAACCAACACCAAATATCTGGAGGATGGTAGGGAGGAAGGTTTCTCAGCCAGAAGGGTAAACTGCAATATAGATATGGCAGAGTGCTACATCCAACACCTGGCAGCATCTGGAATTGTACAACCTAGCTCTTCCATAGCAGGAAGGACCTCAAATGCTACAGATCATCAGAGATGGGCACTAATCTGTGTGTGTGTTTTCTTATAGCAAATAACATGTTGACAGAATCATTCAACCAAAACCTGGCAGCATCTGGAATGGTACATCAGGTCCGCAGTATGAAGAGTCTCAATGTCATAGTCATCTAGCACGTTCACAGTTTGTACAGTGAGAATTTAAGACAAAAGTACACCTGGTCAGGCAACACTCGCCACAGAGTGGGATCCAAATATGCGATAAAGGCCTCTGCAATGAAAAATGAATGGAATACTTATCAACACACACAAACAGTTACAGCAATGATGATGTCCCCCAAGGGAAGATGGAAATGTGCAGATAAGGTGACAGATCTGATGGGCAGAAAACATGAAAAAGGTGACAATTATCAGAAGAAAAGGAAAGAAAACACTAGGTGAATGAACTTGTATGTGTAATAAGTATTATTGGTTCCATAATTAGAGAAGTGTAGTTTCTAATGTGCAACAAGTGATTTGCTCTAATGTAATGTGTACATACGATTAGTGTAGATTTGTTCAGTACATAAACTGTACTTTCTCTCTTAAATTATACATTTGCATTGCAAAATAAATGTTTTAAACACTTCACAATATTATACGAATTTTGACACTTCAGCATAATCAGTTGTTTTTATGACAAAACAGTTAGTGCCTTTTTAAACAATATCCTATTTTAATGTCACATCTCATAATGATAAGCAACATGTTGAAGAGTGATGTCATTTAAAGATGGTCCTTACATTGAAAAAAAAATGCAAAGTAGAAAAAACTGTCCTTCAAATGAGTGTAAATTGCATAACTGGATCTACGTACTAGAAAATTAGGAGGAAATAGAAAACACTATTTTTGCAAATACACCCTAAGATAATGAACAAACATCCATTGCAAATATTTTTTTGGGGTTATCACTTCCAAATAAAATTCTTATCTTCAGTATTTTGAATTTTGACCATCCCTTGTAGGCAAGTTCTCTATCTAATCATCCCTAGTCTTTTTAACTTATGACAGAAATAGATAACTTGAATGTAAATGCACTGAACTTAAATCTATCAAGAAGTAAATGAAATGGTTCCATGATAATATCAGATTACTTAAACCTATTCACCACAAACTTACTTCATCCACAATTACTTACACTTTAAAAGAAAAGGGACAAATATAATTATCTAATCAAGTGTAAAAAAAAGTACTTAATTAAGTTGTTTTTATGTGACTTTTAAGCAATCCATTTAGGAAGACCACAAAACTTAAATACACATCTTTCATGCTGTATCTCTGAAAGGAAGATTAGATGAGAAAGTTTATGAAAATTATCTTGTGACAAATATAAAAATATATTAATTAAAGTATGAGTTCATTAAGATATCTGTGTAAATGAGTAGCATTTGTAAATAACTTATGAATCGTATAACAAGAATCTATGGTAAATTACAGATACAGAACTTATTCAAGTTACTTCCAGTGGAACTGAAATAAACTTATCAAATTATTTTTTTCATAAAATCTTCTCTATTTGTAAGACAAAGGCACCCAAACAAATGAAACTACAATGAAATATGTATTTTTGCAAATGAAAGAAGAACAGACTGGAATTAAAACAATTTGAATTTTGGAATTGTTGTCTAGTCACTTGTTCCATCATAAATAAATTATTATTATAGCAATGAAATTCTTTGTAAAAAATTTGGTAAATGGGCAAGTTCAATGGAAGAACAGTTTGGAGGTTTACATGTATCATCACCTTAATGTTTGCCTTCACCAACCAATGGTTGTTGGACTCATGAAAACTTGCAACAAAACATAGAATAGAAGAACCACAGAAATCTATTGAAAGTTTATTGTTACTATCAGAAACATAGAGCAAAATACTGGAATAACATATTACTAAGGTTAAATAAATTTATAAACATTGTAAACAGCCCTTTACAAAGTTAACAGTGCATAGTAGTATAGCTATAACATTTTATAAATTAAAAACACCATATTTAAATACATTAGCTCATCAAACAAATATTTACACACTAAACAACAACAAAAACTAACCAAAGCTTTTTAATTTCTTTTACATCTTCATGTAAAATCAATTAAACATTTTACAAAACTGACTGTAATACACATACATCTCTACTTACATTTTAGACAAAAACACTCAAAAGAAATTGCATAAATTATCTTAAGTACATTTCAAACTTTACGTGCACATGCAAAGATTTCACAAGAATTATTTATTTGTTAAATTTTGTGCAAAGTCACTCAAGGGTTATATGCATTAGTTGCCCCTAATTTTGAAGTTAAAACAATGAAACTACATTTTAAAGAATGACTGAAATACTCATGCACAAACAGTTACTGGTATATTTGTTTCTGTCCTTTTTTGAAATATAATATTCAATAGAAAAGATATGAAAAAGGCAGTGTTATTGGATAAATAATTAAGTAGGAAACATACTTAACTAAATCCAAAGGGGGACTAGTGAAAGAAATCAGCACAACACTAAGCAGATTAAATTTTTTTATGGATTGAAAAGCTGGAGAGAAGAAGGCTAAGGTAAATTTTTACATGCTAATTTTTGTGATGATTTATTCTTTTTCTTTTTAACTATAAAAATTGGAAGTAATGGTAGGAAATACAGAACAGGGTCACAGGCAGCAGTACGTCTTTCAATGTACTAATAATTCTGCAGGTATGTTGAAATACATCGAATGACACACCAATAACCAGTTTGAAGCTAAAAGTTCAATGTTCAATATTTGATTTATCAATCTTTTCAAATGCTTCATAACTCTAGCAAAATGTAATGATAACTGAAATGTAGCATACATTTTCTGTCAAACTGTATATGTTTTAAGCTAAAATTTTGAGAACAGCCAGTCATCTAGTGGCAAACAAGAGTTCACCCAGTTGGTGTTTTATTCTTAAAATAAACTAATAAAAATTGCAACATTTCCAATATGTCATAAGGCTACTTTTGCAAATGTAATGAAGCAAAAAATAATGCAGTTTTACTTCACCAAGAAACCTGTAATTAGTTTAAACTTCCCCTGGTTAATTTCATTATTTCTAGAACATTCCTTATTGTTAAGTTTTGATATAAAACTAGTCTATTTGGATTACTTGTTTCAACGTATTCATTCCCTATTAGGGCCCAATTAATTCATAAACTTTAGGTTCATCCATGTACTGATGAGCATGCTTAGATCAGTAGTAAGACCTGGCCTAAATGTCATGATTATTCCTTTCTAGGAAAAGCTGTTGAAGTTCCACTATATTTGTTGCCAAATAATGCTTTCAAGTAGTTAGAAGTGAAATTTGATACTCAGTCTTAGAGAAATTTCCAATATAGTCAATATCAATTTCCTAGTTCTCACATCTAGATTTAAGTTAGCACAAGTGAGAAGAATCACCTTTTTAACTGCCTATACTAGGCCTTTAATAGCTAAATTACTAGTTTAAAAAACACAGCCCTAGATTGCTATAAATTATATAATTTTTAAAATTTCTCTACACTCACCCTGTTTAATTGGTTCGTGCTTCCTTATAATGTCATTTTCAACATACAAATCTGAAATTGTCACCTATAGACCTGGACCATGCTATTGGATATTATAACAGTTCACTAAAAACATACTTAATGACAAGTAAAAGGAAACTAACAGAGGAAATTTATATATAAATTGAAAAAACTGATATGCAAGCAAATGGGTGTAGGGATAGGAAGGCAAAGAGCTAAATATTTACATACTCCACAATTCTCCCGCAAGGCTTTGATTCTCTCTTCCAGCTTGGCTTTTTCTGTCTGCAGATAGATTTTATAATGTTAGTGTAGAATTTAATAGAAAAATCTAATGGGAATCCCAGGTCTTGATAACTTTAAAACTATGACTTATAATTTAGCAATGATTTAATAAGACAATATTATTTCAGAGATTTTCTTTGCTTCAGAAATAACAGTTTTAATAGCAGTTCTTACTACAAAACTGTACAACCTTACAGTCTAATTTATATGTAGCTTTTCTACAAGAATGTTTGCAAATCGTACTGTAAAATAACAGGAAAGATACATAATGGCTCTTCAGCACTAACAACAAAATGTAACTACCTCTTGTTCTATCACTGTTTCAAAATGCATATACTCTGAAGCTTTGCAAATCTTACTCTTTCTCCACACATAATCTACAAAAACACATGTATTTAGAAGAGAAAACACACCTAAAAAAGTTAAACTTATGTACTTACATAACTATACATCTTTAAAACACATCTCAACAAGATTTAGATGGTAAAATAACCTCTACACACAAACTGCACAATATGATTATGCTAAAAACAAAAACAGTCTTCATGTTTATTTTTTTTATTTATTATTTATAGGCTTATGATGCCATTTTACGTTGCGTGCTTAACTTTTATCTATTTTCTACTTTCTATTTGATGGCTCATTTTAAAAATGTTATCTTCCCACAACTTGTTCTATGTTAGGTATAAAATTCAAGAATTTGTTTTCATTTTCACTCACCTTAAATGTATTTTTCTGCTCATCTAAAGTTTTCTGTTTAGTTTGAAGATCTGCTTCCAGCTGAATTATTTTCTCTTGCAAAGTTTTCTCCTGCTCTTGCCATTCATTTTTCTCCTTTTCAAGTACGGTAGATTTCTCTCTGAGTTGACGATTACTATCCCGAAGAGTTGACACAATGTCCTCGGCCTGTTTTGCTTCACGGCGAGAGATTCTTACATCCATCTTGATGTCTGATAGCTCGTCTTGTTTCTGTAAGAGCATTCTTTTACTTGTATCGTCTATCAAAAGCTTTACTGGAATATAACTAGAAGCTCCAAGTGCAACACGTATCTAAGTTGAACCCCTTTTATTATATTAACTTATGCTATTATAGTATGTTTATAGTTTTAATTAAAACAAATGGCTGAGATAAAAGTCATAATATATGAAGCTTGAGATTCTAGAAGATTGTTGAAATATTTCAATTAAATAGCATATTTTTTTCAAAATGTTCACAGTCAGAGCAAATACTCTTTAAATACTCAGCCCTTCGTATTCCACCTTACACACCCCATAGTTCCTATAGCTGTCAAATGACCAAATTTAAAATGACTTTTTCTAAAGACCTATTTTCACAGCACATTGACCAAAAAATAACAAAAATATTAATAATATATATCTCATTTTTAATGTGTTTCTCATCTATTAACTCTTATATATGGCAAGTCTACTGAGAGTGTGAACACACTGTTTTGAGACTTTTAAAACCTTTAGCAACATACTTAAGACTTTTAAAGACCTTGAAAATACAAAGAATCTTGATGTACACTAAAATATGTAATCAAGGTACTTTTCTATAAATTTATACATAAATCTACATCTGAATTAACTTAGCTATTAATCTACTAAATATCATATAATTAGTATGTCAAAATGTATGCACTCATTAACTCGTATAAAAAAATACAAATGTTTATACCTATCCAATGAGAGCTTGAACATGACTGAAAATAATGTAATGTTGAACATTTATAAGAAATTACCATCCCAATGTAAGGTTTTTAGAAGAAAAAAGATATCACCTTTAAACTGAAATTTGCACAAAATCTAGTACATGTACTCTCAAAAACATTTTTGTGTTACAAAATGGTTCTAAGACAAACTTAATAGAACAAATAAAATAAAAAACATTATTCAAAGTAAAACTCTAACTACTTCCTTATAAGTCAAACTAACTTGTTCAAATTACCACCGCAGTGCTTCTAATAGCCTCTCAAGTTGAAGTTTTTGTGATACATTTGTATTCAACATCTTTATTACTTTTAATAATCTGATTATACCAATTTTTCATGGATGTTTCTATATTTTTTAACTGCTACTTGCATCCACTACAAAGGGGTTTCTTTTCAACAAATATTTTATTAAAAGGCTTTTACCTTTCTCAGCTGTTCTCTAAGTTCTTTTTGACCAGCCCTTTCTTTGGCCAAATTTTCTCGGACTCTTTCTAGTTGGGACTCTGTCTGCTCTATCTTAGTAGTTAGGAATGCATTCTCCTGCTTAAGATCTGATGAACATGGTCTAGTCAGTTAGTGAAAAAAGAAAAAGAAACTTAGTTTTTTTTTACAACTTATCTTGTTGTTCAGACTGGAAAATAAATACATTTCTGTATTTTAATATGCTCATTTTAAAACATACTGTAGTTCCTTGAATAGTACTCATATAAAACTGGCTATTGTTCAAAGACTCTCTCTCTCTCTCTCAATCAATCTTTTTATCACACACACATTCTCAATAATCTGTAGTTTACGAAAACGTGTATACAAGTAAAAGATATAAAAGATCATATGAAGTACTCTCTAGACTTATGAACATGTGTGAGTGTGACATTGTTTAACTTACAAGTATCAGGGCATTTAACTATAATTAGCAAACTAAATTAGTTTTTCAGAGATGTCATCCATAGCCTGTTGTGAAATGTAGTAAATTTCTTAAAATCAGTATACTCATGGTGTCCTTAACAGTGCATTTGAATGTTTCTGTTAATATCTTGTACCAGTTATGAGATAAAACATATTAAGAATAACTAAATGTTAATTATTATATTTTTAGCACCAAAAGTTTTTAAAATGACAAGAATAGTATTAAATAATAATAAATGTGAATAAAAATTGAAATACTGCTATATTCTGATGTGTAAGTTCAGTGTTGAATACACTACTGAAAAAATTAAAAAATTTTACATTTGCATGTTATATTACTTGTTACATTTCTCTCTCTTGTCTCCTGTAGAACAATTGTTGCAACTATTTCTAACTTCTTTTAACTATATGTCTGGAAATTAAATGTGTATATATATATATATATATAAACAGTTTTTAAAAGTTTTGTAAGTACAACAAATAACTTAATCATTTATTGGACAATGCAAATAGAAAATAGCAATCCTTACAAAACAATCAACATTGTAGAAGTATAACTATACAAGTCTTTCCAACTTATACATAAGTAATGATTTGTGAAAGTAGACTGTGGTACTTACAAAGATATTTTTCAAATTATTTCCTCATGATGTTGAATTATGTTATATCGTAGTTTAACAGTTACCGAAGAAGCTGTTTATGTACCAGTCAAATCCCTGTTGGATTTTTATGCTCTTTATGCAACTGGTAAATCTAACTGCACAGTGTACCCATGTGCTATCAGCCAGATAAAAATAAAAAACTAAGACCTCAGTGCTGATAAAACTCATTCAGAAAAACTTGACTTTGTGCATATTTTATTGAGACAGTAAAATAGGCAATAAAGTACTACCTTCACACCCCTAAACTTTCTTCACAGATCACTGAGAATCTTGTGATAATGCTGGGCAACATAAATCAGAAATCTAACAATTAGTAAGAAATTATCATCTCTAAGAGAATTAGATGATAAAAAGAGAAAGCAGCTACAAGTAAGACTGTTTTTAAAACAAACTCAATTCCATGCACTTATGAAGATTCTATCATAATTTTTCATATCAACACCACCACCTGTGCAGGTAACTGTATTTTATTTACCTATGTTTCAGTGACTGTACAGTTTACCAACATCATGGCAACTTACTACAACAGTTATTACTGAACATATCACTTGACTCATTATACAAAAGCAAACTCATGAAATAAAAGAAAATATTCATAGAGCCTTAATTAAACAATGAATTAATCAAGTTAAATTTTGCTGTCTAGAATACTGACTTTTAAAGTCATTAAATATTAATTCCCACTACTTACTTATTAGACTTTTAGTGTGTTTTTACTTAACAGGTTTTTACCAATTTACTGTTTTGAGTTCTCACACAAAATTGTGTTAATACTTCTTATTTTATGATTGATTTATCATAAATTACTTTTGTTGTATGTGTCACTTGTGACAGGGTTTTGACGAAAAATGTGCTTTGTCTTACCTTGTTTTTATTTCTATTTTGGAGAATTTTCTTGCTTATTGATTTGTCATTACCAACTGCTAATTTTTTTTGCATTGTTAAACACATTCTTATATTTCACATGACCGTATACTTTATTTATTTCACATAAGATGAAATAAGAAACATAAAAAGATGCAACTGTATTGAAAGCTTATAACTGCTTATAGAATTTAATAGCTCGGTTTTGTGTGGTAGAAACATATCATGCTAATAAAGCTTTTTAATTCTACATAGTATTTTTCTTGTGCAATTATAGACTGTTAAAAACCTTGAAGAAAATGTGGAAAAACTAGAGTATCAGAAGGATCAGTTCAAGAAGAACTTAGCTTCATTGAAAGGCCAAACTATTGAATCTACAAAGTAAGCTTAACATTTTAATATGGATAATATATAAATGCAGAATTAAACTTCATAAATGTATACCTTTTAAATACCTTTTTTTTGTTGTTGTTGTTGAACTTTCATTTATTCAAGAATCTTTCAGTTAGATATCTTTATGTTTCACACAAAAATTACAGAAAGCTAAATATAATCAGTGTATGACTGATTGTTAACAAGCATTTATCTTCAAAAGCAGGTTTTAATATAATAGTTAAGTTTTTCACTTCTGCTATATCCAGATTTTTCACATCGCCTGTGGTACGAAAGGAGAGTTGGCAGTTTACAAGCATCACAACACACCAGCTTAATTCAGTTTTTAAATATTTGTTTGAAAAGAAATAATTAATTGATTTTTAAAAAACAAAAAAAATACTTATGACCATATTAACTCTTTCAACATGAGGTCAGGCAACATAACTGACCTCGTAACAACAAAGTAACCATCAGAGTTTTCATACTTATAACTTGTAATATGTTTTATCTATTTTCAAGAAATTGGGCAAGCTTTTAGTAAACATTACAATTGTTTTGTATACAAAAAAATCAGATTTTATAATTAAGCATTTTTACAAAAGATTTTCCATGAATTTATAGAGTAAGTGTTGACTGCTCTAAGTGCAAAGTGATTTTTCTGTTTAGATAAAAATACTGTTCTTCACCTGAAAATTTTAAAATTGAATCTGTGTAACCTTTAAAACCTACTAAAGAAATATCAAACATTTTTTTCAGTAAACTTTTATATTTTATATATTATTTTCTCTACCCTAACTCTATATGGACTTGGTCAATTTGACCAACCTTGTAACCACCAAAAAAATACAAAATAAATCTACATTACCCTATTTCCTTTATAACAAAAGACTGCAAATTGTAACAGAAAACTACAATTGTTTATCATAAATAGCTTAAAGCTCATAACAGTCTACATTCACTTGTATTTTATATGTAAAACTTATTATTCAAAGGTTCAACCTGACACTAGAATTGGATCTATATTTAGACTGTAAAACTTACGAGCCACATTTTTATTCCTGAATAACACTAACACTACTGTCACACCATAACACAAACTTGTTTTTTACACTCACAAAAAAAACTAAGTAACGTAGACATTTTTCTTCATTGGGAGAATGTGCCAACTTGTATGTTCAATTCTGTAACTCAAAAAAACCTGTGTTCAGTACAAAATGCATATATTTTCATACATAAATATGGACACCTGTATCTTACACCTTTAGGTGCATACTTTTTTTCAGTCATATAATGCTCAAAATAATCATCACATAATTCGGGTTTAAAACTAGAATTGTCAGTTAATTGTCTCTTCAAGTGTGAAAAACACTGGAGTGATTTAATGCCATTTTGGTCTATTTTCTTATAAAAATTAAATAGTTTTCAACTACAAGTATTACAGAGAATTTGAAGAGCATGTTGGATATAAATTGGTAGCTGAGATCATTAGCTGTGCAGATTAGGCATTATCTATTGGATTTTGTGTGCTTCTTTCAATTTCTAGCAGGAAATTCAAACTGCATTATGTGATCACCATACAACGATGGGCACGCCAAAAGGGTTAATACCACAGTAAACATGTATTCTCTACATTTAAATAAATAGCTTTAGATTATTCAAGTTTTTTTTATAAAATTTATTATTAATTATGGGAGGAAGTGGAATTACAACAGGTCTGAACTACTATATCCCATTATTAAATTTCAATCAAAAACAAACTGATAAGTTACAAGATATACCTACCTTTTGCAAATTTGCTATCACATTATTCAATTCTTTCTCTTTCAGTTCCATATTCTGTATATCTTTCTCGAATTTCAGTTTCATAGCTTTACTATGCTGAAGTTCTTCCTCTAATTTCTAGGGATGATGAAATTACAACTTATGAACACTATATAACAGTCTTAACTAAGTAACTACTATGAATCACTTACCTTCAATACCAATATACCTTTGTTTAAAATGTTTCTAGTTAAACAAGTTCTGTGAAGTTGTGTGAACAAAATGACATTATATGTTCCATAATTTATACTTTTCATTTTCAATATCTTGTAACTAAGAGATGGTGTGGTGTCTTTATATTTTATAGCTGATTTAAGGTATCAGATATATGATAAACTTGTTAACCCGTTACCTGCCATGGCCATTTTGTCTTATTGCGAGGGCAAAATCACATTTGTGAATTGAAAAAAATTAGAGAGAACTTATCTTTTATTGGATTTAAAATTTTATTTTTGTAAATAGTAGCATAACATTTAATTATTTATACAAAATTGTATTATTTAATGAAGTTTAAAGAGAAATTTAATGAAAAAAATCCCAAAATACATTTGAGACTGTAAATAAGCGCCCTCTAAGAAGAAAATTTAAAAACATTTTTCCTTCCACTTCAGCACTGATCCTGCCATCTATGATTGGTATCTAAACCTTTTTCTAGTCTGTTTTCTTTATAAAACTGCATCTAGGCATGTTAAGCCTCATTTGTAAAACTTTTAGCCAATCCTAGTCAAAGGTGTCAATTTCAGTACCATGTTATACCAATCACTGTATTTCACGTTTGACAAATCATAGAATGATAAGCAAAGCACATGACAAAACACTGTTCTCTGGATTTTTCAGTATGAATGTGGGTGGTGCTTATTATAGTAACTGCCATTTTATGTAGAGGTTGTATTTAGTATTGACCAATAGTACTTTTCTATAAGCTTTATAAAACTTGCTTCTGGAAAAACTGCATGGGATGTACGTGACTTTTATTATTTTTCTATGGTAGCTTAAGTCATGCTGTATCGTATATCTGTTTATGTTAATCATTATATTGAAAAATTAACTCAAAATAGATATATTTTTTAGGAAAGAAGTTGATCCACGATTGTTAGGGTTAAGAGCTATCAAGTGGCGAGTGCAAGGTCTTTACATGAATTAGGCTTAGCACTTTGAATTGAAAGATTAAATGATTTTTTTATATTCTTTTGCATTTAAATTTGTAGTTTGAAGTTCAATAATTTAGTATAATTTTATATTTAATTCATAATAATAATATGAATCAGTATTTAGAATGATAAACTTGTATGAGTTGTATGTAATACTACTAGTATCAGTACCAAACAAAAATTTTATATTTTTCCTTCTTACAATCTTTATTTTGTAGTAAGACCAACACTTCTGTTGTTATTACTTTAGAATTAAAACAGTCTAACTGATATATATAAAGTTTATTTTGATATTTTGCAAATGGTTTAAAACTCAGTGTACAAGTGACAACAATAAAACCCATATGTTGGTTGTGAAACAGACTAAATACATTTATCTCAATAATACAGGGAAGCTATGACATTCTCACAGTTGAGGTCTCAATACACTGAAGAGCTTGAGCTTCCAAATTCCAACATAATGAGAGGATTGACC